TATCTATCTATCTATCTATCTATCTATCTATCTATCTATCTATCTATGTATCTATCTATCTATCTATCATCTATCTACCTATTTATCTATCATCTATCTATCAATCTATCTATCAATCATCCATTTATCATTCTATCTATTATCTATCTATCATCTATCTATCTATCTATCTATCTATCTATCTATCTATCTATCTATCATTCATTCATTATCTCACATATCCTTTATCTAGTTTTATTATCCATCATCTATCATCTAACTATCTGTCACGTATCTATATTGGCTGAAGCTTCATTTAAACTTATATTTGTACATTTGTGCATTGCATGACCTCTGTAGATGCCTTACACTAAACAAAATCAAGAAATCCATTCCTAAAGAAAGGATGCTCAAAAATACAGAAGACTTAAAGCAATTTAGCTTCCCCCCCCACACAATCCAAGCGCTGCCACCATCTGCAGTGTCCTGGGCGCTACCAAATTGACGTTGTATTCCTAGCCCTTTGATCTCCCAATTAACCGCTTTCTGCGGAGTGAGCCAAGAGGAACTTACAGGCGGTTGGAAAATCCACGGTTGGGCACGCAGTCTGCCACGCGGATCTGTGCTCCCCGGAGCCTTTCTCCGCAGCAGTCCTCGCGGCTTTTCACCACCACGGATGAAATGGCATACTGCCTCCCCAGGTCCACGTACCACCAGGGGTCCTTTTCTTTCTTGGTGTGGGTGCAACTGTTCTGCCCGATCCAGCGTCCACTGCAATTCCCGTCCACGGCTTTTCTGGCCACTGAATTGAACTGGCTTTCAATAGTGGACGATTGAAAAGCTGGGCGCCCTCTGGCCACATTTGTAGCTGAAAAGAAGTTGGGGAGAAGACAGGCACGTCAACAGAATTGGTTCTCGGTTGGACTTCTCTGGATTTTGCAGACAAACCTCCAGGAGGAAAAACCAAATCCCTGGGATAAACTTTCAGCTCTCTTGAAGTCTTGTTACCTGCTGGGGACCAGTCTGGGAGAGCGGAAGGGCAGGAAAGGCTGGTGACCCTCGGCACTTTCTCGCATGCCTGACCAGGAAGTGGCCGGCCAGAATGAGTGGACAGACAGAGGCAGTCTGGAGAGCTATTCATGGACATCAACTTATTTCATTAGTTTATCAAAATATAAAATACAGGGATATCAAGAAAAATGAAGACAATGGGAAAATAAGGGAGGAAAAAGGGAAGAGAGAAAAGTTTATCAGATTGACAGAGTCAGGGGGACCTTGTAGCAAAGCTGGCTGGGGCATTCTGGGAGTTGAAGTCCGCCAGGCTTAAAGTGGCCAAGGTTGGAGACCCCTGCTCTAGAGAGAAGGAAAGAAGTTGGAACTTCTCCTAGCTTGGCTATCTCCATATTTGCTTTGTTTACAAGAGAACAAAAGGGTGGGAACGCAGGGGTGGGATTCAAATTTCTTAACAACCGGTTCTGTGGGTGTGGCCTAATTTGTGGCTTGGTAGTCACTTGACTGGCTGGGCATGGCTTGTATGTAAACATTGTAAACATTTATGTAAATATTGAATTTTTTAATAAAAAAAGAACAACTTCTACCCAAAATCAGGCAAGGCAGGCAGGCAGATTGAGTTGCTCACAGAATCACAGATTCACTCAGAGATCTACCTTTCTGCAATCTGCTGCCTGAGTCTGTCACATAAAATTTGCTTGCACAATGCAGGCAAGTTGGCTGGCACACACGTGAGATAAAGAGTGACTGGGCAGGGAGGGGAGGGGTGAGCAGGGAGGGGCAGGGCCAGCCAGTGGCATGATTTGCCGGTTCTCCAAACTGTGCAGAATGGTAACAACCGGTTCTTATAGAACTGGTCCAAACTGGTAGAATCCCAACCCTGGTGGAAGGGGAAATCCGTATCTCCTTAAGAGGTAGGAATGTGGGGCAGAGTTGGTCTTGATATCAAGGAAGGCAACCTCTGGGGCTTTATTCTTTATTATTTGGTGTATTCAAACAGAATAGAGTTGGAAGGGACCTTGGAGGTCTTCTAGTCCACTCCCGTGCTCAAGCAGGAGACCCTATACCATTTCGGACAGGTGGGCATCCATTCTCTTCTTAAAGACCTCCAGTGTTGGAGCACCCACAACTTTGGAAAACAGATTGTCCCCCTCCCTTCTTTGGGGCAGCCCCTCAATTAGCGAAACACTGTTATGTCACCCCTAGTCCTTCTTTTCTCTAGACTCAATTCCTGGAACTGGTCTTCATGGTTTTTTTGGTCTCTGTGCTGTCCAGACAGTATATAATTAATGGGGAATTGGTATAGTTAGTTAGGAATTGGGAGCTGTCCCCTTAAGGGAATGCATCATGGTAAATATAGTTAAGGCATCCTGGGAAATGTAGTCCATGTCATGAGACCACGTCTGTAATCCTGATTGGTCACTGAATGGACCCTTGATGGGTTGGGGAGGGTCCTTCACTCTGGCCCGAAGCCAGCAACAGGCTGATGCTTCACCCCCTTGCTCCACCGTTATCGGAATGAAAGGAGACCTATTATCCCTTTACACCGGAAAGTCAGCTATGCAAAGAGTTGGACATTGAGATGAATCTCGACGTAACCGTGAGTTATCTCGAGGATGTCTGATGAACCAATAAAAAGACTTTGTATGGATGCTTTGTGGAGTTAATCGGTCTGCTTTATAATCAGATATTGATTGTAAGGTCCAGAACAGTCTCCAAGTCCTTAATCGTTTTAGCTGTCCTTCTTTTCACTTTTTTGGGGGAAAGTCTCAGCATATTTTTGTAATGTGGGGACCAAAACCGGGTGCCGTATTCCAGGTGTGGTCCATTCACATCACATTTTGATAAAAACACAAGAGATAAAAATACAAAACCGTGAACTATAACGTCTAAAACATTATAAACCTATTAGATTACAGGTATCATTTTTTGCTTCCTTCATCACAGCCAGGAAATCAGCCACGTCTCCATTATAGCCTTTGTTTTGGCACTTTCGATGTTGGCCCCGTCGTCACAGTTCAGGATAACAGAGTTGGAAGGAACCGTCTGTGATTCTAAGCTGAATGGAACTACACAATGGCGCCCATTAACATGAAATTCCGATGAACTGCTCTTGAAAAAGAAAAAGAAAAGAAAAGACCACGCACCAAACAGCGTCACCATCCCAAGGAGAAGGAGGATAACAACACCAGCATCCCAAAATGCCAAATTATTACCAATGTTCTAAGGCCGTGATGGCGAACTTATGGCACATGTGCCAAACTTACCTGCACTGCACATACGTGTGCCTCCCAGCAGATTTTTGGTCCGTTTGAGGCTGTATTCGCCCTCCCGGAGGCTCGAGGGAAGCCTCTACAGCCTCAGGAGGCCGAAAAATGGGCCTTCCGGAAATACCAGAAGTGCCCATTTTCAGCCTTTGGAGGGCTTCTGGAGCCCAGGGGAGGCTGTTTCCATCCTCCCGGGAGCTTGAGGGAAGCCTCTACAGCCTTTGGAGGCTGAAAAACAGGCCCGTTTCAGCACTTCTGGTATTTCCAGAAATACCGGAAGTGCCGAAATGGGCCTGTGTTTCGGCCTCCAAAGGCTGCAGAGGCTTCCCTGGAGCCTCTGGGAAGCTGAAAAAGGCCTCAAATGGGCCAAGCGTCAGCTGGGAGGTGCGCACATGCGCAGTGCAGATAAGGAGGGCATTGTGTGCACATGAGCATGGGGGTATGGGGCTGATTGCATTGCGGGTGCTGACATGCGTGCGCACAGGCTATCGTGCATGCATGTGCTTTCGGCATACCACAACGAAAAGGTTCACCATCACTGTTCTAAGTTTTTTTTTCTATCTTTATCGTCTGCACTTTCTCACTGATTTCTTCCTTTATTTTTTAGTTTGTGTTACTTTTTATTCTCTTTACTTTGTAATGTTGGATAAAATTACTTAAAAATAGAGCCACCAAGGAAGGCAACACAGGCGCTCCCCTTTCCCCTTCAGCAAATGAGCTGGCCAAACCAGCGGTGGGATTCAAACATCCCAGCAACCGGTTCGCTGCCCAGTTGCTGGGTGGGTGGGGCCATGGTGGGCCCCGGTTCTTCTGGGAGGGCAGTTTTTCACCTTCCCAAGGGTCTGGAGGGTTCCCTCTGGCCTCTGAGAGGGCGAAAATGGCCTCCCCGGGCTCTGGAGGCCTTCCGGAAGCCAGAAACAGGCCCAGAAGGTCCGTTTTTCCCCCTCCCAGAGCCTCCGCACAGGCCCCGCCCTTACCTGCATTGAAAATGGGCTGCATGGAGACTCCTGGGAGGGCTGGGATGGGGTGGGAGGGGTCAGCCGGTCAGTTCAAATACAAGTTCGGTGAACCAGATTCAAATTTAACATCCAGTTCAGGCGAACCAGTCCGAACCGGTAGAAACCGAACTCCTTGGCCAAACTCTTTCCAAGGGAGGATTTGACTTCTCCCGTGTCCGCAGTGCTCACAGTACCTTTCATCTCCGGTTTGCAGCGCTTCGCCTCCCCGTGGCTGGCCAGGAGCCCCAGAAGAAGCAGCCACATCCAGGTGACGAGCATCGTCCTATGAGGAGACAAAGCAGACGGCAGTCAGGAGGAGCGCGACCTGCGGGAGCCTCATAGCTGGATTCCTGCTCAGCAATTGGTCTCTGCAGATCCCCTCTTGGGGGACACTGGGAGGGCCTTGGGCATCAAGACCTTCCCAGTGGAAACGGACCAGACCAGCAGACAGAAAAAGAGTTCTTTTTTATTTTTTGTAATTTTTTAAAAAATTATTTAAGGTATAGTAGGGGTGGGATTCAAATTTCTTAACAACCTGTTCTGTGGGAATGGCCTAATTTGTGGGTGTGGCTCGGTGGCCCCGTGACTGGCTGGGTGTGGTTTGTATGTAAATATTGTAAATATTTATGTAAATATTTAATTTTTTATTAAAAAGAGCAACTTTTACCCCAAATCAGGCAAAGCAGGCAGGCAGATTGAGTTGCTCACACTTAAGAGACCTGTGTTTCTGCCATCGGCTATCTGAGTCTGTAACATAAAATTTGCTAGCAAGCAAACTCAAATAATCTGCTGGCATGCAAACTCACAAAATTAACTCACAACACACCATATATGTCAATATTGAATTTTTTTATAGAAAAAGAGCAACTTTTACCCAAAATTAAGCAAGGCAGGTAGGCAGATTGAGTTGCTCACAGAATCACAGATGCACTCAGGGATCTACCTTTCTGCCATCTGCTACCTGAGTCTGCACTGAAAGATAGAAGCTTCAGCCCTAAGGAAGGTTCAGCTCTGCTTTTAGATTAGCTAGAAAGCAAGAAATCCAACAATTTCCTGCTTTCTAGCTAATCTAGTTGGAACAGCTGATGGTCAATTCCCATATCTTATAATATTCAGTTTGCTCCTTCTCTTTAATTGCAAGGGTTAATCTATTCATTTCTCCACAGAAAAAGAATTCTGAGAAGAAGCGAACATAACAGATACGATCAAGTGAAAAAGACCAGCAAAATTGGAACGAAGGCAGGATTCCAAAGAGGGCAGAAGCAAATTTAAGGGTCGTTTGTGCTCTCTGAGCTTGGTTGGTTCTTTGCAGATATTTCATTACTAGAACTAGGCAACGTAGCCCTGGTACTGATGATGTTACTTAGCTTGGGGGATGCAATGTCTCCAAAAAAATCCACCAAGCTCAGAGAGCACCAAGGACCCTGCAGTTGTCATCGTCCTCTTCCTCCTCTCCTCAAACCCTACTCCCTTCTAGCACTGATGATGTTCCCCAGTTGGGTCATGAAACGTCTGCAAGAAAACAACCCAGCTCAGAAAGCATCAAGGACTCCACAGTCCTCCTCCTCCTCCTCCTCCTCCTCCTCCTCCTCCCCCTCCTCCTCCTCCTCCTCCCCCCCTCCCCCTCCTCCTGAATCCCACTCCCTTCTACCACTTTGGGTAATTTGTGTAGTGAAACACCTGCAGGAAAACCACCCAGCTCAGAGAACTCCATGGAGCGCTCCTTTCAATCCTGAGCTACAAATAGTTGCGTTTATTGGTAGCACATTTAGCGTAGTGATTGGGATGGGTGAATGGATGGACTGATTGACAGGACGTACGTGATTGCCTATCACGTACAATGATTCTCAGCGATTCACCACAGAAAAAAAACCTTCTCCCTGAGCACCAAACTGAACAAATTTGCACTTCAACTCCCACTCTAGATATGCTGGACTCTCCGGCAAATTTTTATTTTATTTTTTCCCAAACATATCTTCTTCCATTTGATGACGTGTCATCTGGAAACCAATATCTTGTGCAATAGAGTTGGTGTTTACGGTCATATTCATGACCTAGTGTTATTCTCTGATTTATCTTATTGTACTTAATATCACTATCTCTTTATCTTTCTTCTTAGCTTTTTATTTCTATTAAAAATATCTATTATCTTTCTTAACTAATCCATTAATTGTAACTAGCCTTCATATTTTTTCTCTAACCATTGATAAAATAATCCCCATACCTTATAATATTCAGTTTGCTCTCTCTCTTTAATTACAAGGGTTAATCTATTCATTTCTGCACATTGTAGTATTTTCCTAATCACATTTTCTGCAGTTGGAGTCTGTTCCCTTTTCCAATTTTGAACAAATACAATTCTCGCTACAGTTATCACATGAATAATCAGATATACATTTTTCTTTACTGTAAGTTTCAGGTAAGATCACCAACTGGAATATTTCTGGTTTTAAATCAATATGTTGTTGTATCGTCTTTTCCAGCCATATTTTTTAGCTTCCTGTCCAACACTGGAGCGGTATATAAGTCCAGGGGCTACTGCTTTTGGGGTCTTTGCACTGCAGGAGGTGGCCAAACCTCCCCCAGAATCTCCGAAGACTTATTTTGCCTTTCCAAAGCAAATCCAGCCAGTCTGGTGAGATTCTTGTAGCTTTGATGACTAGCAAGGAAGCTTCTGTTTGCAACTCTTCACCAGGTGGTTCTGGTTGCTTTCACTGAGACTGAGCTACTACTTGGCGGAAGAACCAAATCTTCACAGCCCTCTGGAACAGGAGCGTCCAACCTTAGCCACTTTAAGGCTTGTGGAGTTCAACTCCCAGAATTCCTCAGCCCAGCCAAGCTGAGGAATTTCTGGAGGTGTTCTGTCCTGACCTCCTTTTTAGGGCTGAGAGAGAGTGACTGGCCCAAGGTCATCTAGTTCAGGGGTCTCCAACTTGGCAACTTGCAACTCCCAGAATCCCCCAGCCAGCATGTCTTGAGTTGAAACCCACAATCCAGTGTTGCGAGGTTGGACACCCCTGGGTTACAGCAAACCTAGAGGTGGCTGGGGGGTCCTGAGAGTTGAAGTCCACAAGTCTTCAACTTGCCAAGGTCAGAAACCCCTGAGCTAGTTGACTTTCATGCCCGTGGCAAGATAAGAATTCATGGCTCTCTACCTACTAAGGCATGGGCGTAATCCGGTATCAAATCGCCATGTAAGCATAATAGAATAGAATAGAATTCTTGATTGGCCAAGTGTGATTGGACACCAAGGAATTTGTCTTGGTGCAGATGCTCTCAGGGTACATAGAATTAAAGATGCATTCATCAAGAGATTGGATCTAAGCCTCTTCAAATGTTTTGTGCGTCCCCACCAGAAGAAAAGCATTTTGTCAATATATTCATCCAGGTAGAGACCACCTGTTTAAGAAAGCCTGTGGCTCTGGTCTTTGACAGAATCTTGGACTTTGTTTAACTCACCTGGAGTCTCTCACTTGGCCAACCAAATGTGGACAATTTCACAGCTGGTCGTCTTCAAACCGCAATTTCTCCAAAATATTGCCCTTCCTCTGTATGGGGCATTTTTAACTTCTTTCTTGGTGGCTTGGCTCCTCCTTATTCTTCCTTCAGACAGCTCAGCCAACCAATGGGAAGGTGCAGAGCTTCTGCCAGAGACCAATCGAGGCCAAGTTACAAATCTCCCATGTCTGTTTCCGCTTTGCTTCGGGGTGCTGGCAATGGCGTGAGACGGCATGTTACCCAACCCACATTTTACTGGATCTCACCTCCTCTTTCCACGTATTAAGCGATTCTTTTGGACGGGCATTTAATAGTCTTCCTTGACAGAGGTCAACTGGTTTCCCTATGAGAAGATCACTATTGTCTGTGAGCAAACAGCCATATAAATGTAGTTTTTACAAGGCCCGGGGATGCTCACACCTCCAAAGTCAACACCCATGCAATGTTCAGGTGACACCTGTCAGGTTTCCAAGTGATGAAATCCATTTTAAAAGAAAAGAACAAAGTCCATCTTCCAAGATGATTTCTTTTATTTAGGAAAGCATCGGATCGGCCTAGTCCACGGAAATTGACAACACCAAGCTGGCAGGAATAAGCCACACTCCAGCAGATGGGCTCAAGACGCAGAAAGACCTGGGCAGACTTGAACGTTGGGGCCTATCTAACACAAGGAAAGCCAAGGGTGAAAAAAGCCAGGTTCTACATTTAGGCAAGAAAAACCGAACGCACGGCTACGGTATACAGGCGGAACCTGGCTCATCAGCAGTAACTGTGAGAGGGATCTTGGAGTCCTTGGACAGAGATCGTGGCGGATTACCAGGCCTTGAACGGTTGAGAACCAGGCTGAGGAAGTGGCGGGAGAGAAGGCGTGCAGGTGTTCTATTTGCAGGAGTGGCAGGTGTGCAGCTGCTCACACCAATAGAGCTGCATGCACACTCACGCACTTGCTCATTACTTGTGCGGATCCATCCTCTCCACACACACACACACACACGCCGGTCCACAAAGCCAGAAAGGTTGGGGAAGTCTGTCCTGGGGGACAATCCCTTAGATAGGAGCCAGCCGTGTGCTGCAGCTGCCAAAAAAGCCAACACAATCCGAGGCTGCATCAACAGAGGAGTAGAATCAAGAATACCTGAAGTGTTAATACCACTCTGTAAAGCCTGAGTAAGACCACACCTAGGGTACAACATCCAGTTCTGGTCACCTCGCTATAAAAAAAAAGATGTTGAGACTCGAGAAAGCGGGCAGAGAAGAGCAACAAAGAGAATTAGGGGACTGGAGGCTAAAACATACAAAGAACAATTGCTGGAACTAGATAGGTCTACTTTGATGAAAAGAAGGACTGGGGGAGACATGAGAGCAAAACGTAAAATCACCGAACTGTTAGTTACACCGGTTGGATGCCACCCCTGCTCCCAGGGGGCCATGCAGGGGCAACTCTGTAGGCTGTCCTGAGTCCCAGTCTTGGTTGAGCCTTGCTGGGGGATGATGGAATGAAAGGGCTTTGGCCAATTCCTATTATAGCTCTACCTGGAATAGATCTTTGTTATGTAAAATAGACTGGCCCAGGCCAGAGTAATGGCCCATGAGCAAAAATGGGGGCTGAGTTTCTGCTTCTGAGTGTCTATTTTTCCTTTTAGGAGAAATATTCTGCCTTTTTAGTATATCCTAAAATATCTCATTTTCCTAGGAGAGGGGAGGGTTTTAAACTTCCAACACGACGGATGGAAACTAATCAAGGAGAGAAACAATCTAGAACTAAGGAGAGACTTCCTGGCAGTGAGGACAATTAACCCGTGGAATGACTTGCCACCAGAAGTTGTGGGTTCTCCATCCCTGGAGGTCTTTAAGAAGAGACTGGACAGCCATTTATCCAGAAAGGTTTAGAACAGGGGCCTTGGCCACTTGAAGGCATGTGGACTTCAACCCCCAGAATCCCTCAGCCAGTCCCCACATCTTAGTGGCCAAGGTTGGAGACCCCTGGTTTAGAATTTCCTCCTTGAGCAGGGGGTTAGACTAGAAGATCTTGAAGGTCCCCTTTGGTGGGCCCTCTGCTAAAATAAAGCCAGGTCATGGCACGTGCTTGAAAGTAAACCAGGAAGCCTGTCATTGTGGAGTCTGCCTGGCGAGGACAAAGAATGCTTATCCACGGGAGGATATGCGTGTGTAAATCTTGTAACAATCCTGGCTAACTGGAAAGCTGTAACACGAGTTAGCCAACTTGTAGGGCTTGAAATGGCCTGCAGAAAATCAAATGTGTATTAGATAACTCCTAGGGCATTCATTACCTAAGACTTGGGAATAGGGACAGCGAGAGACCAATAGAACCAATGGTAGAATTATTACTAAAAGGTTTATTAGATGATATGTCTTATTACCTCGCTTTGTCCCACGTTCTCCTTTAGTAAAAAACCATAAAACTTGCTCAATCCTTTGTTCTTGGCTCTTGGCATTTCGGTCACAAGCCCCTTTTCCTTGGAGGACTCCAGTAAGTAGCAGTCGGAAAACCTGCACCTCGTGTCTGGTGTCTCCCGCTGGCTTTGGCACCAGGCTCAGACCCGTATTGGGGACAACACCTTCCAACACTAAAATGGCTCTTCCTGGGCACCCGCTCAGTCCCAGGAGAACCTCATGGCGGTGGGCAGAAGGGATACGCGGAGCCTCCGTGGAGGAAGACCAAAATGGCATTGGACCAAGCCCAGCTCCGAGCTTTCATAGAATAGAATAGAATAGAATAGAATAGAATAGAATAGAATAGAATAGAATAAATATTGGTATGAAGAGTAGAATAGAATAGGATTCTTTCTTGGCCAAGTGTGATTGGACACCCAAGGAATTTGTCTTGGTGCAAATGCTCTCAGGGTACATAAAAGAAAAGGTACATTCATTAAGAATCAAGAATCATAACGTACAACACTTAATGATAGTCACGGGGTACAATAAGCAATTAAATCATACCAGGAAATAGTCCATATAAATCGTAAGGATACAAGTGACAAAGTGACAGTCCTACAATCACAAGAGGGAGGGGAGGGGCGATAAGGAGTGAGGAGAATGTTAACAGTAATAGAAGTGCAGACTTTGTAAATAGTTGGATAGTGTTGAGGGAATGATTTGTTTAGCAGAGTGATGGCTTTCGGGAAAAACCTCCCCTTGTGTCTAGTTGTTCTGGTGTGCAGGGCTCTACAGTGTCGTTTTGAGGGAAGGAGTTGAAACAGTTCCGGTCCGGGATGTGAGGGGTTTGTAGATATTTTCTCAGCCCTCCTTTTGACTAGTGCAGTATACAGGTCCTCCATGGAAGGCAGGTGGGTAGTAATTGTTTTTTCTGCAGTCCTAATTCCCCTCTGGAGTCTGTGTCTGTCCTGTTGGGTTGCAGAACCAAACCAGACAGTTAATAGAGGTGCAGACAACAGACTCAATGATTCCTCTGTAGAACTGGATCAGCAGCTCCTTTTGGGCAGTTTGAGCTTCCTGAGTTGGCGCAGAAAGAACATCCTTTGTTGTGCTTTTTTGATGACGTTTTTGATGTTAGGTGTCCATTTTAGGTCTTGTGATATGATGGAACCTAGAAATTTGAATGTTGATACTGTGTTGTCTAGTATTGTAAGAGGTGGTAGTATGGGAGGGGTTCTCCTAAAGTCTACCATCATTTCTACAGTTTTGAGTGTGTTCAGTTCCAGATTGTTCTGGTTACACCACGAGGCAAGTTGTACAACCTCCTGTCTGTATAGGGATTCGGGTTCGTTGTTGTCTCAAATGAGACCAATCACCGTTGTGTCACCTGCAAACTTCAGTATTTTAACAGATGGATCGTTTGAGATGCAGTCATTGGTATATAGGGAGAAGAGAAGTGGAGGAAGCACACAGCCTTGTGGGGAGGTGGGGCTGTGCTGATTGTACAGGTATCAGGTGTGATTCTGCCTAGCTTCACCCGCTGCTTCCTGTCTGTTCATGGTGGTGGGACCAGCAGGGAAGCGCCTGCAAGTCTGGTTTCATTGCCTCAGCCGGTGGCTTCTCCGCTGACCAGGTTTAAGGCCCCGTCTTTTGGGGAGACCAGGCAGGAAATGCTGACAATTGGACCAGAATAGGTTTCAAGTAAAGCTTAGTTAGGTACACAAAGGTTGTGTTAAGAGTTGTTTATTTAGCATCCTTTTCAGGACAGACTCAAGGATGTGAGGAAGGAAGGGCATAGTACACAAAGCTTTGCTTGGCTGGTTCTAGAGAATGGCAGAGGTGTGGCGGGGGGGGGCAGCGGGGGGGGGGGTGATTACACAGAAAAGATTGTTTTTTGTTTTTAAAAAAGAAATTGGCAACGTTGAAGCTGAAAGGTGAGAATCCGGGCATATTCTTGAAAAGGCCTGGCAGATTTTCAGGCTGACTGTTTCTGCCTGTGGACAAATGGAGAAAACGTGGAAATGGGCTGCTCTTATTGCAATTGTGAACTTGGATTGTTGCATACAGAATGGTGGCTGTGATGGGGTATTAAATACGGCAGTGTTATTTACCCTTGTGTTACCTCTTATTCCCCCTTTCTCCTGATTGAACACTTTGAGTGGAATTATTATTACTTTCTCTGTTGTCTTGCAAGTGGAATGAGTGTTTCTCTACCCAAAACACACTTGTTCAAATAATTATTCTATTCTATTCTATTCTATTCTATTCTATTCTATTCTATTCCATTCCATTCCATTCCATTCCATTCCTTTCCAATCTATATTCTATTCTATTCTATTCTATTCTATTCTATTCTATTCTATTCTATTCTATTCTATTCTATTCTATTCTATTCTATTCCATTCCATTCCATTCCAATCTATATTCTATTCTATTCTATTCCATTCCATTCTATTCTATGCTATATCTATCTATCTATCTATCTATCTATCTATCTATCTATCTATCTAT